TCGATCTTTACTGCTGAAGCAGAAGCAATAATTTTGGCTTTGAAATTTATTGCTTCTTCAGATAAATCCAAATTTATTATATGTTCTGATTCACTTTCATGCTTACAAGCTATACAAAATACTAAAATTAAAAACCCAACAATTCTCAAAATTTTATATGTAATGAGGAATTTAAAAATTCTTCTTAAAGAAATATTATTTCTATGGGTGCCGAGTCATGTTGGAATCCTTGGAAACACAGCCGTAGACCTTGAGGCAAAGAATGCCCTGGGTGACCCTTTATCTAACTGTGATATACCATATACCGATTTTAAATCTAATATTAGAGAATATGTTTTTAATATATTGAAAAATGAATGGAGTAAAAAAGATGGTAATAAATTACATGAAATTAAACCTAATTTATGTAAACCTTTCAATAATTTTATGTGCAGAAAAGATCAGTGTGTTATTTCTAGATGTCGTATTGGTCATACTAGAATAACACACGAATATCTTTTAAAAAATGAAGTAGAACCACAATGTATACCTTGTAACTGCAAGTATACTATTAAACATGTTTTAATCAATTGTATTGACTTTGCTGATATTCGGAAGAAGCATTTCAATGTCAATAATATGTATGATTTATTTAATAATATTCCATTTACAAATATTGTTTCATTCTTAAAAGAAATTGGAATATATTATAAAATATAAAAATGTTGTTATATTTAAAACGATTTTAATTTTTATCACGTTATCTTAGTGTTGATTTTTATTTGTAAATAATCAATTTGCTTTAGTCTAGAATTTTAGTTTATTGAAAGACCTTTTGTCTGATTTTAAAAATATACCTTAAATTGTTATAATATTCGAATTAGCTCTCGCCGCGATATAGCCTTTCTGTGCTAATGCGGCGTAAAGCAAACAACAATCAATCAATCAATTAATTTATTATGTGTTTGTGTGGGTTTTTTGTGGCCTCTATATTATTAATATATCATATATTAATATAATACTATGAAAAATGTTTCAGTATGTACTTTTTTTTTTTAAATGACTGATCGAAGGCAAAGTTTGATGTTTTCTGTAAACTTGTGCTCTATCATTAAGTGTAAAATAGTTTTGTTTCTTGGTTAAAAATCGAGAAAAGAAACTGAAATCAACTATGATTAAAAAATTCTTGTTATAAACATTCACAAATGGTAGTTTAATTTTTTGTCAAGCAGATACAAAAAATTCATAAGCAAAATAAATCATGTCTATCACAAAAAATGAAAGGATGTTTATTTCTTTTGATACAGCTTCATACTAGGTTTTCTTTTATACTTCACTCTAAGTCATTGTTTATTGTAAAACATCATACATGTTTATTTTGCACCTGAAACTGAATATCAAAATACAAATGAATACATGTACAAATGTATGTAATATTGTATTAATATTTCTTTTACCTTTTCATATTAATAAGAAGTGATGTTTTTATAAATATTGTTTGATAGTATAAAAAACACTGAAAATGGGTACACTTAAATATGTTTTTGTTTGCATGTTGCTTTGTGTTTTTTGTTTTCTTTCCCTAGGATAACCAAGAGGCAATGAAATCAACAGATCAAGGCTTCTAAAGAAAAATCTTATGAGCTGTTGGGAAGTTTATTTTTATTAGCTTTGTTTACTTCTATTTTAATCCTTAAATTTGAAAATTAATGATATATACAGTAACTGTACATGTAAAAATGTACTATCCATCTTCAATACAGCAAATCAACAACACAAGTAACCCAACACATCTAGTTGTCAACATACATACATGTACATACTGCTGTTTAACAATATACAATGCAAGTGTCTATACAATATCTGTATAATACAAGTATTTCAAGCTCAAAATTACCATGCAAAAAAAATGTTACGAAATATAAAATAAGCATGATAAGAGAAACTAAAAAAAAAAATGCCATCTTCACATATTTCATCAAATATCTATAGTTGTTATATTCCATGTCATTTGGTCACTTGTACAGAGTTGTCTCATAGGCAATCATACCATATCTTCTTATTTTTATATAAACTTACACAAGCTCAAAGTACTTTATAAATGTGTTGTTTCACAACTGCATTAACTCAAACCTGTAGCTTTAATATGTAAAGAAAATGGATATGATGTTATTAAACAAATTCATTGTTTTTTTTTATGCAGGTGATCGCTGCAGACTTACAGAAAATGCTATTCCTTCTGTGTTCGAATTTAAGATGAAGACATGTTCTGAAGAGTCTCCAAGAGCAAAAAGATTTAAAAGTAGATCTGATACTTCATCAGCAACACCACACTTAATTAATGATGATTCTTTAGAGATCCAATATGAAACTGAAATTGAAACTACAAAAGAAGCTCAGGAGCCAGTTAAATTCAATCTTAATGAATCCTCACAGCAAAACCAAAGTATCCAATGTGACATTCCATCATTTGGTAAATTTTCAATAGAATCGTTCAAAGAAGATAACAAAATTATCAACTATTACACTGGTTTTCAAAATTTTGACCATTACATGATGTTTTTTCATTGTCTTGGACCAAGTGCATTTGAACTTGATTTTAGGTGTAATTTACTCGATCCTATTGATCAACTTTTTATGACTTTAATCAAACTTAGACAAAACAAAGAGGATATTGAATTGTCAATGCTTTTTAAAGTATCACAATCCACAGTTTCTAGGATCATCATCACTTGGATTAATTACCTGTATTTTCAGCTTAAAGAAATTAACATTTGGCCTTCTAAAGAAATAATAAAAGAAACCATGCCTAGTGATTTCTCTAAAAAATTTCCCAAAACCAGAGTGATAATGGATGCTACAGAAATACCAATTGAAAGACCATCAAATGTAGAGTCACAGAGTGCAACTTGGTCAAATTACAAACACAAAAACACGCTAAAGACCATGATTGGATGCAGTCCACGAGGAGCTATAACTTTTATATCTGATTCATATGGCGGTTCTGCATCTGACAGACAAATAATTGAGAAGTCTAATTTACTTGACCCTGCATCGAAATCTTTTGAAAAAGGTGATGCCATTATGGCAGATAGGGGTATACTTGTACAGGATCTATTTGCAAATCAAGGGGTTCAAGTTAATATACCAAATTTCCTGAAAGGTAAATCCCAGTTGGATCCAGCTGAAGTTCTTCATGACCGAAGGGTAGCTTCAAAGCGTATACACATAGAGAGAGTTATAGGTTTAACAAAAAGTTTTAAAATATTAAAACATGGTATTTGTAAGTCAAAGCTGCAATTGGGTTCAAGAATAGTTTTTGTTTGTTTTGCAATTTCAAATTTCAGGAAGAATATTGTACATGGAAATGCTTGATGTTTTAAAAACACAATGTGACTTTATACATTTATTTCCCGTGCATCAGGGAGATATGAAGGTTTGTTCACTCAAGAATATTTATATCTCACGAGGGCTTTGCCCGAGAGAAATGTGATTTTTCAAGGGGGGAACAAATCTTCATATCACCCGAATCCAAGGGAAATAAATATTTTATTCCACTGCCTATGCTTTGTTTACTACATGTACATAAAATATTAGTTTGTATACATTTTTATTCCTTATCTGCTAAACAACACATATGCATTGATAAGGTCAAAAAAATAATATGTGTGTTTTCTACTACATCTTTGAAAAAAATTTGGTAAGAAGGTATGGATTTTTTTTTTATTTTACCCTTTTTTTTACATTCAGTCTATGGGAGAGACATTCTGACTTTAAAAGAGCTTATTGAAAATGACAAAAAAACTTTAGGGTAGGCTATTTTTGAGCTTAAAAAATAAGGAGGGTAGGGTAATGGGAAACACACATCTTTTTTTATTTGTCCTAAACAGTCCGGATCAAAAGTTAATTATTAGTGTATTTGCTTTAGTGTCTGAAATAAATACAAACACGCTAATGATTTTTCCTATAGCTTTTTAACGAAAAAAGTTCAAATCGTTATGTCACACTATGTAGTCCTAACATTTCAGAGGGGAATATGAAGATTTGTTTAATGACGTGTGGGATAGTCTCAACCAATCAAATATTGAACTAACGTGTAAGCTGTTATATACAATTATAGCCTTTGTATGAGGTCGATACAAGGATATATTGACCTGAAAGAAATATATTGACTGAGGACAAAATCCGAGGTTGATATACTTATTTGGGATGATATATCCTGTATTGACCTCATACATGGGCTATAATTGTTATATTATTAATTTCCGACCAAATTTGTATCAAAATTGTCATTTGATTTTGTTGGAATTTTATAGATATCATATTGTCTCCTAGGCAATAACAACATATCAGATGTTATTTCATTTATTTTTATGTTTGTTTTTTTTTACATCGTATGTATAAATTGAAGATTTTTTTTCTTCAAATACTCGATCATAGATATTTTTTTATAAAATTTAAACAATATCATGAAATTCATTACATGACGTCACAAAGTATATCGGTTTTAGAGTATTCTAAAAATAACCGTTCAATATGCTTTTTGCTATCCGCCGTTTTCTGCCTAGCTTCGAAAATATAGTTTAACATGTGACTATCCCTAAATGAATCAAATTAGTTAAAATATACGAATTAATAATATCAATATGTATAAGCAGTGGAATAAAAGGATCTTCTTTTTATTGTACTATAAATTCTAATCATAAAATATGGTAATCTGAAAGGTAACCTTCTTCTGTACAAGAAGATGTGGTATGATTATGAATGAGACAATATCGACCAGAGACTAAATATCACATAAAGGCCTTCAAAATGAGAAAAACACATACCATAAAGTAAATAATATAACTATATTATAAAAAGCCCAACTTACAAGAGGTAAAATTATTCAAACAACTCAATACTGGTATATTTATCACTAAAGAAAAATTTATTATGATTTTTTTAATTGGCATCACTTTATTTGATTTTAATAAATGAAAATTGTAAAGTTAATTATATATATAAGTGTTTGAGATTCTAGCATGTACGTCAAAAATTAGTATTTACTGGTTACAAATATTGCGTGTTATAATAATTATCTTGCATCTCAAAACTGTTTAATACATACATGTACTAAATAAATTGGATTATCAAATTAAAAATTAGCTCTTCAATAATATAAGTTAATAATTTATTTCTTCTTTCATTATAAAGAGATATTTTGCTTGCTTCAGTAAGTCATTCTTAACCTTAAAAGTATAATGGGATAACAGTTCAATCAATTGAATTAAAAGAGTTATCTGTCCCTTTTTGAGAGATTTTTTTTATCATTCCTGGTTGATTGTATAGGTAGATTTAACTTTAGATAAAGATATAAACCAGCATATTACAAAAAAACTTCAAAGAGATTTGTTAAAGGGGCATTTAATTTTCAAATCAAAATCAATATATTAGAAAAATAATTTTATACATGTATCAAATTACAAATAAAATGACATTCCAAATTGAATAACTACTAGTTGTAATCAGTGAATACGTATTGATAAAATATTTATTTGTTTTAATTGTATTTCGTATGATTTTTACTACAAATTTACAATGTTGAAGCAACATATGGTCTAAAAACTCTTTGGTAAAATGACTCCAGTTTTGGAACAAGACAGTTATTACAATACTCCTCATTAAGGCTGATTTTTTGTACAAACAAATCACATAAGGTATAAACAACAAAGTAACATAGAGATCTTTTGGTGACAAAAAGCTGCCCTTGAATTTGATCATAATAATTACTGCTCTCTTTCAAAACAATATTGCCATTACTATCCATCTGTAAAAAATTGAAACTTGGACCAGGCTTAACATCTTCATTTCTTCCATTGTAGGGGCATTTAATTTCGACAATTGCTTTACCATCCTCTAAAATGGCATCAGGTGAAGCACCAAGGAAAGATTTATCAATACTGACATAAAAACCACATCTTTTAGCATTCACATTAAATTTTAAATTAAAAGCCTTCAATGCTTTAGCTTCATAGTTTTTGCCATGACTAAGTGCTTTGCTCTGAATATTTGAGCCATAAAAAAGTGAATGACAAAATTTGTTAGTGTTCCGTCTTGAAGTGACTTTACAAATCTCGCCGAAGGTGGATGCTGTGAGTCTCCATCTTCTTTCTTCTAACCACTTGGGACTGCAACTTTGTAGGCGGGAAGACCTCTCAATCAAATCTATATCTGATTGTGTAACCTATATGAAAACATAATATCATTCTGATTGATTGATTCTAATATCATGATCCTGTAAATTAAAAGAAGAAAAACTTTGAATAATTTAATTTAGTCCACTCCTTTTTGAAAATAATTGTTTATCCATGATTCCATATCTTTATCAAATTAAGGTAGCACTACAGTCTAACAATGATTTTTTGAAGATATTTTTTTTATCACATAATTTTGAATTAAGTATTATTCTGCACAGTTTGTAAAAATCCCAAAGTCATTATCATATCACAACAGGGAGTAAATTGATAATGAACTTATGTAAATGAAAGCACATGGTAATTAATCTAAATATATAGGCATTTGGGAGGGGCTAATATGTCAATCATCAGTTGATACCAGTGTCCAGCTGTTAATCTCTGACCACAAGATAAATATTGTGGTCTTATCTCATTGTATTGCAACAAAGGTAATTTATGTAACATGTTTATAAACAGAGAAAAAGAAAAAGATATGAAAAGGAAAAAATCTAAAAGGAAGAAATCTACAAAAAATGAAAAAAAAATATGGAAAAGAGTGTGAAAGTATCTTTGAAAGCCTCTGACTGCCTGTATAAATTTCTTCTATTTGGTCTTCTACATTTAAATACAGTTTTTAGGCATTTTAACCGATTTTAAGTTTATGTGAAATTTTTCAATTCCATAAAACTCAAAAATCATGTGGGAGTGTCTTTTTTTAAAGAAGTGGATGGTCTTGGATCTTTTTATGAACATGTCTTTTGATGCACAATTTTAATGTTCTAGCTAATTTCAGTAATAGTATATTTCTTTTTAAAATACAAATGAAAATTATTCTTTATAGTGAGAATAATGATGTTAAATATTGATTACATGCAGCTGGTCAATCCTGTTATTCTCTTATCTTAGACTGTCTGGACAGAGGCGGAGCTTTGTCTATATTTAATTACTACATCACAGATATTGGTCAAATCTGTGACGTCAAACTCCCGCCAAATGCCAAGTTAGTGTTGCACAGTGCCACACATAATGCAAAATTTACAGCATTAGAGCATCAAAGAGACAAAGTGTGTGGTTCTATTGATAAAGTAATGGTGTCAGAACACTCCTGGGGTGTTCCCAGTGGAATTTTTTTTATTTATGTTGCATTTATAGGGGTTCTAAGGGGGAAATTCCATTTTAGGGTCATTTCTCAGAACAATTTTTCATGAGATTTGTGAGGTAAAACTAAAAATATAAACTTTATGGGTACCCCCTTTGGTTTGACTTTGATATATGTGATTAAAGGTAGTATTTTCTACAATACCGTGTCCCAGTTTTTGGATAATTTGTTTCTAAACGAATTTTTAGGTCTCCAAAGATGAAAGGTGAAATGAGGTTTGGCACCCAGCAGTTAAATCAATATATCTTCTTACTGGAGGCATATATCAAAAATCTGAGACACGGTTTTGCAGCTTGTATATGGTTGATTAAAGGGATGAAAACAAATTTTTACTACCATTTGACCTGAATGTGCCATTTCCATCCAAGTTGGAAGACCACTTTTTTGGCAATTAATGAGCTATATTTTGAGATTTATCATACCAAAAATAAATTTATCTTTGGATTCAGAAAGAGTAATATTTCAGCTTTAAAATGAGTTAAACATTTTAAAAATCCATTGAGTGGTTTTGGAGTAATTAATCTTTAAAGACTGTTGGTTGGAGTCAGAAAATTCTGACTGTAGTGCTACCTTAAGACTTTAATCATTACCAAAGTAAAAATATCTAAAGCATTTTGAAGAACATTATTAAATAGGAAAGCTCAATGACAATATTAAAAACCCTCTCTTATTTTGTCGTGTTAAGCATTAGGTAAATTTATACAACAGATTAATGATTGATGAACTTCATGCATCCTTATGTCATTTTTCCTGGGTAACTTGCATTTACATTTTTAGTATATTTCTAGGACAAAGGGGGATAACTCAATTTTTTACCAAACTGTGATCCAAATTTATTGAACCAGTTTTTAATACCTTATTTGCTCTATCAACCCAATGCTCAGTAAAAGGCATGGGACAATAATCATGATCTTTGGCTGCTGCCTGAAAATAAATATAAAACAATGAAGTGATTTATGATATTAATGGAAGAAATGAATATTTATGAATTTATTTAATGTTGTTATGACTCATGAGGGTCAGTGTTTATGATATACATAGATTAATGAATTTACCAATATAGATATATATATATAATATATAATATGTTATTTTTATTGTATTGTTTATTCTGTTAAACTGTTTATGTTGATATATTTATACAATTATAATAAACAGTCACACTTACCTGAATATCAGCTTTTTCATACAAGTATCTAATTGATAAGTCCATTGATGATACACTGCAGAAGTTTGTTACAGTGTTTTTGATGTGGTCATTGTAACCTGGGCAGTTTCTGTATTTAATTGGTCTAGGATCAGCAAGATAAACTGGTGCCAGCTTTCTCTTAGTTGGCAACTTTTCTGCTTTCACTGGAGACCCTTAAAAGAACAGAAGTAAACTGCAAAGATGCATTTTACTATGCAACAAAAAATCTGGAAGTTACTTTTTATCTAGTTAATTGGTAGCATTTGTCATACAGTTTTTTTGTCTCGCCTTGGATTGATTGATTGTTGGTTGCTTAACGTCCAGTGGCAAATATTTCATGCATATTCAGGACGAGAACAAGTTCACAATAAATACAATAGGTAGGTTCTGTAACAGATAAAGGGATTAAGGTCGGAGAAATTTAGACTGCCACGGGAAATGAGGGTATATTGGATAAGGACAGAAATTTAGCCTTGCAACAGGTCACCTACGGACCCCTCAAAGAGTTGTTGCAAGGGTTCTTAACGTGCAAAGAGCGTGGCACTCTCTTTACACGAGGCATCGGATTTAACGTCCCCATTCTGACCGGACGTGGCTGCAAATTTGTACATCCCGCACAGCCAAACGGACGCCCCACTTTAGCACGGGTTTTACTGCCGGTCGGAGGAAGACCAATGGTGACCATACTTCTATTCCCCAGTCACCCTTGGGGGGTCTCGCCTTGGAGATTATTTGGCCCCGCCCCCTCAGTCAAGGGCTATAGACTTTGAAACTTTTCATAGTTAACATGTATTAGTTTGTGATTAGGTCAATTTATGGGGAGGAACCACTAGTGGTAGGTCAATGATATTTGGTATGCAGTTGTATAAGCATTAGCATATTCATTTTTCATGGAGATTATTTGGCTCCGCCCCCTTAGTCATGGTCTATAGACTTTGAAAATTTTGCTAAGTTAACATGTTTTAGTTTGTGATTAGGTCAGTTCAAGGGGAACCATTAGTGGTAGGCCAATGTTAATTGGTGTTCAGTTGTATAAGCATTAGCACATCTCATTTCCATGGAGAATATTTGGCCCCGCCCCCTCAGTCATGGTCTATTTACTTTGAAACTTTTGCTTAGTTTACATGTATTAGTTTGTGATTAGATCAGTTTAAGATGAACTGCTAATGTTAAGTCAATGATATTTGGTACGCAAATTTATTGGCATTTGCAAGTATCTTTTCCATGGAGATTATATAGCCCAACCCCTGATCATGGTTCATTGACTTTGAAACTTTAACATAGTTTACAAGTTAATGTTTGTGTTTAGGTTTGTTTAAGAACGACTTATAATAAGTCAATGGTATTTGGTATGCAGTTGTATTAGCATTGGCACATCTCATTCCATGGAGATTGTTTAGCCATGTACCTTCAGTCATGGTTCATCGACTTTGAATATTTGTATAACTTACATGTTAAAGTATTGCTATTTTAATTTCAACATTTGCATTATCAAAATTACAAATGGCAGATGGTTGTCGTTTGTTGGTGTGGTTCATAGGTGTTACTTTTTTTATATAGATTATTAGACTGTTGGTTTTCCAGTTTGAAGAGTTTTACAATAGCCAATTTTGTGGCCATTTATAGCTTGCTGTTCCATGTGAGTTAAGACTCCATGTTGAAGACTTGTCTTTTGACCTATAATTATTAACTTTTATACATTGTGACCTGGATGGAGAATTGTCTCATTGACCATGTTGACACTCATACCACATCTTCTTATTTATACTGCAGATCTTAATTGGTACTGAAGTAAGCTAGACCAAGGGAAATTATGTCAATCTAACCTACATTTCACAATTGAGTATCTGTGATGAAGTTCTGCTCAATACTTTATTCTACAGCATAAACTAAAGATGATATTTTTATAACACATGGTACAATGCTAGATCTGGTTCAGAGATTGTTAAGGTGTATTACCAATGTGGAAAAAGTTATAAAGTATGTAATTGAAATTTATAAAAGGGTAAGTTTTGGCAAATTTCTGGTGATTAATGAGATTTTTGCTTAAACTGTTTCGTCCCTGCCAAGGGTACTCGTCAGGTGGCTTTAGGCTACCACTACAGTTTTGCACTATGAAAATCACAAAAATTACATACCACTATATGATGATTTTGGCTTGGTAAACATCATTAAAGTGTCAGTACACGACCTTCCTGTATTTACATTGCCAGTTGCTATGAACTCACTAATCATTATTAGCACTGCTGCCACATGCTTGCAGGATCCATGTGGTCCCCTTCCAGCCGGACATTCACAATGTGAGTTCAGTGGATCACCGGAGCTCTTTTCAAGTTTCAACCTGTAGTTGTAAGTTACCTGAATACAAAATAAATTGTAAATTTGAAGGTAATAGAAACAGAAGCAATGAAATTTCATGTGTGATCTTTTGAAGTGAAGCTGACATTTAAAAAATAATGAATAACTAAGATGTAAAAATAAATGTATCTTTCAAAACTAATAATAAGTGAAGATTCATGATTACTAAATATTTCTCCACTAAGATAAAGATTAAGAGCAGAAAGTGTAATGATACCTTTTTCTTCATAGCTGCTCCTACCACACCACTAAGAAATATCCCATTATCATTTTTTAAAATAGAACTCGCTAAAACTCTATGGCTTTCAAACATCAGTTGACCCTTTGTCATAGATTGCAGATCACCACTATACACATTGTCCTCTAAAAGATAAAAATTATATTAATCAATTATAGGTATGTGTTGCTAGTCCCTAGTTTTCTATGTGAAGTTTTGTTATTGATGTTTATCCTTTTCTTTTTTTTTAATTTATTTTTGTCCGTGGTATTTTTTTTTTACTTAAATGTATAACTTAAGAGTGTCCCTTTTGTGTCTTCCTTCTCTTTTAAATATTTAAATGTGAAGGTATAACAGTTATAATAATTAAGAAGCAAAAAGATTTTATAGGTACAAAAAAACACAGTTATTATAAATCAAGCATGAAGATCATAAATAAACAGGGTTAACAACATGTACTTACCTGCCATCCTATACAAGAAATAAGCCTCTATTTGCTCTCTTGATAATTTCGGCATGATGAGCTTGTGCTCCTTCTTCAACTGTTTAAACCCTGAAACAGGCCATTCTACCTCTAATGGCTCTGGAGCATGGATAACAGGATTTTTGAAATTCTGATTTTTATCATATGCTCTTAGTCTACAAAAGAAAATAAAAAATGTGTTTTTTGCAAATGAATTAAAAAAAAAAATAGAATGAAGTGTTCTCAAGTATACAATTACAAAATAATATTTGAGTATTCTAAAATTACATTTATTGAATTAAAATGTACAAGGCATTGGATAGTAATGTCTCATGGCATTAGCAATCATATCACATCTCCTTATTTTTGTTTAAAATGAATGTTTAAAAAGTATATAATGATGTGAAGTATTCGAGGAAATAAAAACAGTAAGTATAAATAAAGAATATGTTTGAGAAACATATTTTGGAAGAAATACATACATGTACATGTAGCTGGTGCTTATTCTCTACCAAATATATACAGGGAGCATAAATACTCACTGTAATTTTTATGACTGAGGGGACTGGATATTTGTTTGCAATTCTTTCCATGGCCAAAAATATGTATCGCCTATCACCTACCCAATTTTGCTATATATATATATATCCTATAAAAATCTTTTTTTTGCAGTACAATATTATGTTGAAGCTTATCTCCTTCACTGGCTTCAGAGCATTAACCAACACATATAGATCTATCACTTATCTTCTTTTTTTCTAGTGTATTTGTATTGTTCAGTCATTGGCTACTATTGATATGTACAAATATAATATTTTTTAGGTTTTATTAGATGGAAAAATATATAGCAACAAAAACATCTTCAGTAAATAAAAACGTTTCTCAACAATAACATAATCAAATACACAAACGAACCTGTGAAAATACTTTTTCTTTTGGTACCAAGTTGAATAATATTCGACAAGAAATTGCTTTAAAATATATCTTTGAAAAAACGTGATGTGGCATCATGTATGCATGTACATCATACTACATGTAATGGAAACCGGCAGACTTTAGCAGGGTATAAGGATCAATAAGCTTCATTAAAAATACACATTATATTTAAAAACCTTTCAATAAGGTCTGCCTTTATTCCTGTTCCAACTGCACCACGACTTGCCAGCTCATTCTTTAACTTTTTAAGAGGCCAGTACAAGTACTGGTCGTTGACGTCCATTTGTTTATCTAAGCGGTAAGCGTTTCCGTGAAATCAAGCGTCCAACTAACCACCTATAGAACCGCAGCGCCGCCTCTCGTGAAAAGTCGTGAATGATTCCTATTTCTTTTTTTCTGTTACTGTTCATAAGGTGCTGTATGTCCATAATTGAACTGACGTCAACCGAAACAACACAAAGATATCAATTTTTAGCTGACTAAAAGTTGAATCTGGTGCTTAGTGTTAACCAAAACTCAAATCTGATTGACCTAATTCATATAATTTTGGTCTCTCAACTGCTGATTAGATATTAATGTGTTTCTTGTATGGATATGTTTTCCATATATTCATTGCCGGTTAAAAATTGGCTGAGACCATTAAATAAATATATGAGTGATTAAAGATGTCACTGTGGGCAAGCAAAATTTTAACATACTAGTATCTTGTTCTGTCAATGCTTCTTTAAGTGTTGTATCTTCTTTAATTTTAGGTTGGGATTCTCCTACTCATTCATAGCGATGTTTCAAGTCTTCTCTGGACAGGTAGTCGTATTCCTGGTCAGTATGATAGTTTAAAATTCCCATTTGAAGATGATCCTGAAGAGCAGACTTCCTAATGTGTGCCAGTGGAACTTCCCAACCATATATATCCTGATCAATCTCAACTAAAGAGCCACTACTACCGATTTTTTATGTTGAAATATGTTTTTGAGAAAACTTCCTCTCCTTTGGAGTTATCTATAGATAGTAATTTTTTTCTTTATATCATATCTCAGTTGTTTTCCTGGTCTTGCAGATGGTATCGTAATTTTTGTTGCTTCCGTGATTACAATTTTATTGGCTCTTCGGACTCGTCTGTGGACAATGTTTAAATGTCCAGTATACATACTAGTAGTAATGTCAATATTGTTGACCTTTGATGGATACACGTATCTATCCTTAATTTTGATGTTGTAATGATGGGCCAACGGGGTCCAGTTAACATGAGACCCTTTATCGCTTCGAGTTGAAGAGTTGCAGATATCCTTGTTTGTCAAAAATGTAATTGTCAAATTTGCAGTGATGTTTTTTTTTCGTTGGTTTCTGTCTTTGTTTGTCTTCTGATCACGCTGGCTTGTCATTATTTTTTTGTTTCATAACAACTTGAAATGTTTTCTCTGTTATATTGTTTGATAGATTTTCCAGAAGCTATTAAACTGCACACATAATTACCACTATCCGTGATTAATTCGGTGATTTTGTTTAATGGACTCTGCAATGTTTTATTAATCTCTATTTTTCTGTCTTGTGGTGATCGAATATCAGATATGAAAACAGATATTGATCAGTAATATGAAATATCATTTCTTTTTCTACTACTCATATGAACAAATATTTAACCATGTTAAGCCCTTTGTTTTATTATCCTTGGCAGCCTTTTTTACAGTTAGGTTTATAAGGGTTTTTGGTAGCATTGCTGTAAAATACACTTAATGATTTTAAGTGACGCATTTTGTAGTTTGGATATATGTCCATGGACGGTATTGCAATCATCCAGTGTATGTGCTTTCGTTTCTTTTCCTGATAATTGATGCTGTGATGGAGTATTTGGGGTTGTTAAACTTTTTTTTTCAAAAGCTGTGAAAAAAGAAAAGCAGTTGCCAGTGCATTTTTCAATTTTACAAAGGCATCTTTAAGAAAGAAGACTCACAGACTGGATGTTGTCATTTCAGACGGGATTTCCTCTTGGTGAGTAAAGTTGATGTAAAGAGAGAATGATCAGAGAGGACCAATTTTGGAGCTATTGATGAAACCAGAAAACTTCATTCTGTGAAGGATGCAGAAAAGTCTGTTTGTCTAGAAAAGCTGGTGGTGTCTTTCAACAAGGGATTTAACCCTCTCAACTGCTGTGCACATGTTCAAGGATGCAATTTGATGTTTTGTTTTTTTCGAAAAAGGGCTTTAATACTGCGTAGATGTTCAGCTTTTACACACCGCTTATTATGACAAATGTGTGACACATGCATACTTGAAGGCATTTCAATATTGTTTGTGTGTAGCATGAAAGCCAATCTATGGTCGTACATAGTGTTTTTATTCATTCCATGGATAAGTCACTTTCAGCTTTGAAGAAGGTTCTAAATTGGAGAAAGTAGTTGATGTTCTGACATCTTAACAAATTATTTTCTCAATTTTATCATTTATTATAGAGTAGACGTAGACTATTGCAGTGGATTATAGAAGATTATATAATACATATAGTAGTATACAGAAACTTGTATAATGGAATGTGATGCCATTGTCATTTAAGTCAGGGGTTGTTAAAACAGGTTTAATCCATTATTTTATACAGAAGTCGAAACCATTCTAAACTACCAAAATTTGTGTTTATCTTCCCTGATTTCTTAACTGTTTATACATTAACCCCAAAAATGAATTCCAAACCAATATTTCGAGGTATTGAACCTTCTTGTAAAATTTAAGAGATTCGTTTATTTTAACTAAATTTATTGCCCGGAAACCAAGTGTCTTCGGACGACGACGACATCATAGCAGTATACTAAACCCCCCAAAAAATTGCGGCCATATAAAATTTATTCGTTTAAGGGGATTAGTTTACAGTTATCTGTAGTTCAAGTATATTTAGTGGAAGAGTGTCGGGAATTTTCAGATCAGGGATACTAGTACTTCCTATTTGCTGATAGTTTGGTATAGTGCTCTATGTACATGATCAATATTTCATCCCGAGTTTACTTTGCTTCGTTGATGAAAACAATACCATACTTGACTCGGTAAAGATGAGTTGTAGTATGTTAGCAATTCAGCTCACGTACATCTGTATGTTCACTCTGACAATGTTACCATTTGACGACAGATTTCATCCAATCAAAAAACCAAAAATTATATTACTGCATTTGAATTGTTTTTCTTCACTGCCACGTCGTCTATTTGTTAACATATCTTTTAAGTTTGCTCCCCAAAGGTGATTGGGGAATAGACATATGGTCACTTGGTCTTCTCCCGACCGGCAGTAAAACGCTCGTCAAAGTGGGGCGTCCGTTTGGCTGTGCGGGATGTATCATGTTTGCAGTCACGTGCGGTCAGAATTGGGACGTCAATTCGTATGCCTCGTTTAAATTGAGTGCCACGCTCATGCACGTTAACCCCCAAGGGTGACTGGGGAATAGAAGTATGGTCACCATTGGTCTTCCTCCGACCGGCAGTAAAACCCGTGCCAAAGTGGGGCGTCCGTTTGGCTGTGCGGGATGTACAAATTTGCAGCCACGTCCGGTCAGAATGGGGACGTTAAATCCGATGCCTCGTGTAAAGAGAGTGCCACGCTCTTTGCACGTTTAGAACCCTTGTAACAACTCTTTGAGGGGTCCGTAGGTGACCTGTTGCAAGGCTAAATTTCTGTCCC